TGAAGATAAAAAATTTTATCCAAATTTCAACAGAAGTTTCTGCATAATTGAAATATAGACTAGAGAAATGACCATCATGATTTAGTAAGCCTAGTCAATGATGGGTTCCTTCCACTCCTTCATTCCTTCCATTTGTAGATTCCATTCAGATCTAAAAATACTTCCAAGGGATCTTTTTAAGATATGGCAATCAAAATTCAAAAATTGTCAGATTGTGAATTCATTAAAATCGAGTTTTAAACTAGGATTTTAAAAACATATTGAAGCATATTAAATCATAAAACTCTCACTAATGAGAGCAAAAAGAGCTAGGTATTGTAAGCAAAAATAAGTAAAATAATTTTTAGAGTATTCTTTCTTTCATCTGTCTTAAGCCTTTGTTATTTTCTATCTTACAAATGTCTCATAAAGTGCATAATATATTCGTACATAGCATATGCATATAACTCACAAACAAATTAATTTTGTTCATACATAAAAATGTTTATTAATATGGATATAAAATATAGAGACTATTGGTCTAAAATGTCTTGGAAACCAGTTAGGGAGAAATCTATAAACTTTGGTTTAAAAAGCAAATGGTCTAAATCTGTGATATGGAAGACCAAGGTTATATATGAGAAAGGCTTTTCTTTATAGTAGAAGCAAGAAGCCACAAGAGTAATTCTCATCCATTGAAATTATGTAGGTATAGTTCTTCCTTAGAGTAATGAGATCAATTCATTTTATTCATAGGAATATTATGTAGCTCTACTGTCCTTAAGTGCCATCCAGGAGATAATTCTAAGTACGTATCTACAGTCAAGAATAACATTTTGATAGTGAAGTAACACTGTACACATAGATTTTCTCTTAGAATATTTAAAGTACTTATGTTTTCATCACTAAGTTTTCTTGAATCTGTTTTGGAATGTGATGGGACACATTTAAGTAAACAAACAATCACATACATAAACACTGTATTAATCTTTTTATCATTTGATCCCTCCCTTCATGTAAAACCACTGTAGAAGGAAAAAAATTTTTATCACAAAATAGCTACATCATTCCCATTATTTAGAACGTCTTTCCTTTCTTCTTTCATTTTATCTGAGTTTTCTCTGTAATTTGGGGTTCACTTCCAAAAACTTGTATTCAACAACTATTTGAGTATACTACATGCTTCTATGGCAGATTGATTGCAAAAATGGCCCTGTTTTCTATATCGACATGCTCTTTGCAATGTGGCTTTGCAGTTCCTCTTATTAGAAGGTGAAGTATATTTTCCCATCTCTTGAATATGGACTAACTTTGGCACTTTTTTTTGGCCAATAAAACACGGCAGAGGTGATAATGTGTCAGTTCCAGTCTAGGTCTACTTCCACCATATGTCCTTGAAAACTCACTAACCCACAGAATAAGTCCAGGATGGGTATGAGACTACATGCAAGAGAGCTGAGGTGTTCTAGATGATTACTAATGAATGTCCCAGGCCGGGCACAGCGCCTCATGCCTGTAATCCCAGCACTTTGGGAGGCCAAGCAGGTGGATCATTTGAGGTCAGGAGTTCAAGACCAGCCTGGCCAACATGGAGTAACCCCGTCTCTACTAAAAATACAAAAATTAGCCAGGTGTGGTGGTACATGCGTGTAGTCCCAGCTACTTGGGAGGCTGAGGCAGGAGAATCGCTTGAACCCAGGAGGTGGAAGTTGCAATGAGCTGAGATCGTACCACTGCACTCCGGCCTGGGCAAGAAGAGTGAAATCCCGTCCCACCCCACCCCTCCCCCCAAAAAATGTCCTGAACGGAGTTGCCTAATCTGCATGTGGCTAACAGCAGATGCATGTAGAGGTCCAGCCAAGGGCAGAAGAGCCACCCAACTGAGCGCAGACCAGATTAGCAGCTCATAGAATTTTGAGCTAAATGAATGGTTACAATTTTAAGCAGCTAAGTTTTGGGCTGGTTTGTTAAGCAGTATTATTGTGATAACTGTTAACAGTCCTTACTAGGCATACTAAAAAGACAGAAACAATGTGGTCCTTTCTGCCCTTGAAGGACTCATCTTCTGTATAAGGTCTTTTAATCTGGGGCCCACAGATGGACTTTAAAGAGATCTTAAATTATTTTAAATTATATGTGAGATTTAACATGTCTTCTCAAGTGTTTTTCCTCTGGGGAAGTGGAGTTTATAGTTTTTATCAGATTCTTAAATAAGTTGATCTCTCACCAAAAGGTTAATACAGCACAGCTGTGAAGATACTGATGTAGTTATAAAAAGTATAATACATCAAATCCAATAATAGAGGTATGTGACAGGTAGTATGGCAATACAGAGAAGAAAACTTTTAAATCTCCTGAGGAATTCTAAGGCTTTCTCAAAGAAATTATTCTTCCCAAGTGTCTCAACAGACACAAAGAACCTTTCAGGCAATGGGATAGCAGGTACAATAACATGGAAAAGTAAAACTGCCTGGTTTCTTTACGGAAAAGAAATTGTACATGTAGCAAGATACATAGTTAAGGTATGGAAGATAAAACTGAAGAAGGCTGAGGTCAAGATGTAGTCCATGCCAGGGAATTTGTTTTTTAAAACTGTAAGGATCTGCCACTAAAAGTTTTAAGCAAAGAAAAAACATTGTGAAAAATCACATTTTAGAAGTCCTGGTGGCAGAGAATAGAACAGCTTGCTTGGAGAAATGATTGGTGCAAGCTGGCAATAGTACAGGCAAGAAATGATGGAAGTCTGAATTCAGAGAGTGGCACAGGGTGTAGAGGACAGAGGTGAGGTTTGAAAGTAGAATCATCAGGAGCTATTGACTGATTAGGTATAAAAGTGAGAAAGCAATCTGGGATTAGTATTTCTTGATTGCACAAATGGAGATGGTGATAAAAATCACTGAGGAGAGAATGCCAAAGGAGCATCACGGAGAGAGAAATTTTTTAAATCCCATTTTGAACATGTTCAATTACAGATTGTGCAGCAGGCCTAGAACTCAAACAAATAGTGAAGGATGAAGATTTAGAAGTTACTGACTATAAATTCCGAGGAATTTGAGGAGTCAAGGAAAATGCAGCATGTAAGAAAAAATTGAGGGGAATACATAAGTTCTAAACATGAAAACACACATGCCTTGGTCAAAGGCACTTAAAGAATTGCCAGCCCAGGGCAAAAATGACTCTTCTGTGACTGGCTCTTGAAAAGATAAAAAAAAGACAGAGAGAGGACAAAAACAGAGAGAGAAAATACCAACCTTTCCTCAGTACGTGGAGCGGCAGGTCAAGTCCTGCGAGCTAAAGCTGGCGTTGAAGTCAGTGCTCTACCCTTGAACTGCAAATGCACACAAGTCTCCAGTCCATGCTGTCTATATCCTGCATACACTTCTTGCAGATCAGCTCCACACATCTGTCACTTGAACCAACACTTCCTAAGAGCAGGAAGTTATAACAGCACAGAGAGCGAGAGATATTTCCAAAAAGCTTTGGATAAATTAGCATCAAATTCAGATTTTATAAAGTTTTTATGTACAAATACTGACTTATCCCAAAACAAAAACAAAGCAAAATTAAAACCTCCAGAAAATGTTTAAGAGGATATCTAATAAATGCAAAGCCCATGACAAAGTACTGTGGGAATGAAAATACGAATAGAGCATAAAATCTGATCTTAAAGGAAAAATCAGTTACCATCCATGGTGACTGTGAGATACGTAATTTGCAAGTTATAGGTATAAAGCCCATGAGAATGGATAAGGCCAACCAGAAGGTGGGGGAAATGCAGTACTCACAAATGGTAGCCTGTTTTTCCCAGAGTTTTGTTTGGCCTGTACAGTGTTTTTAAAAACGATGTTATCTGCCAATATTTAAAAATTGGGAGATTTCACCCCAAAAAATCAAATTCAACTTCTCTTGGAAAATTAATTAAAAGAAATTGCAACACTGGGCTCATGTTGCCACTCAGCAATAACTGGAGCTGAAAAGCAGTGGCTACCTTTAGAGTGACCATGTGTCCTTCAATTAGCCACCTTTCTCATTGTCTTCACTAATTGTATTTACCTGCCTGCTCCTTGTAGGCATCTGAATTTGTGACCGTCTGTGTAGAATTAGAAAAGAATTCTAAGAAAGGAAAACTGAATCATGTGCATCCAGCTATGGCTGTTTATAAGCCAGTGTCTCTTCCCCACTAAAAATTAGCTGTTTAAGATCAGACTTGATGCTCCATTCATCTTTTCATTCCATTACTCTTCCACGAGCTCTGCACATATGAGGTATCCTCCAAGCATTTTCTGCAAGTTTTTGTTTTGTATTGTTTGTTTTTGGTTTGGGATAAGTCAGCATTTATATATATAAACTTAAACTTATAAAACCTGCATTTGATGCTAATTTACCCAAAGGCATATTCATTATTCATTTCCCCTATTCACTGTCATTACCCTAAACATCTGCTCTGATCAAATAAGTTTCTTATTGAAGCTTTATGACCTTCTGTGGTCAGTAGCTAGAGTTGCACATCCAGAGTTAAGTAATATAGTTAGTTCTGTATCATACAAAGGATACAATAAGAATATAATAAAACCTCAAGAAATATGAAAAAATTATTTTCAGTTTATTGGGTAAATTTTTTAATTTTCCATGCCATTCTTCATTTAGAAAGATCAAAGAGAAGGACTTGAGATCATATACTTTTATGACTGGAACACTAAGGGAAGGAGAAAGGGGAAAAGTTTACATTCTAAAAAAGAAGAAAAAAATCAATGTGCTAGTTAGAATTGTATCAGAATCCAACAAAGTTTCACAGGCTTGTGGCAATAAGTTCCTACTGCCAATTAGGAATATAAAAGAATTAACTGTATTATCAAGATCAAAGAAATATTAGAGCCACTTATCTGCATACCCTCAATCCCAAGGTTTTGCTCTATTTTAATTTTCTCACCTTTTTCCTGCTAAGTAAAGAAAGTGAGATATTAGCTCACATTTAAAAAAAAAAGATATAGTAACTATGACATGAAAGTCAGATCAATGTAGCTGTAGGGACCCGGAGCACACAGACCTCGCTGGCTTCACTCTTACCTCGGTGTCTGCTGCACCCTCGCTTCCTCTCCTAGGCCACGAGACCCAGCGGCTAGAAATTCACCATGTCTATTCTCAAGGTCCATGCCAGGGAGATCTTTGACCCTCGTGGGAATCCCACTGTTGAGGTTGATCTCTTCACCTCAAAAGGTCTCTTCAGAGCTGCTGCGCCCAGTGGTGCTTCAACTGGTATCTATGAGGCTCTAGAGCTCCGGGACAATGATAAGACTCGCTACATGGGGAAGGTATCTCAAAGGCTGTTGAGCACATCATTAAAACTATTGCGCCTGCCCTGGTTAGCAAGAAACTGAACGTCACAGAACAAGAGAAGATTGACAAACTGATGATCGAGATGGATGGAACAGAAAATAAATCTAAGTTTGGTGCAAACGCCATTCCGGGGGTGTCCCTCGCCGTCTGCAAAGCTGGTGCCATTGAGAAGGGGGTCCCCCTGTACCGCCACATCGCTGACTTCGCTGGCAACTCTGAAGTCATCCTGTCAATCCCGGCTTTCAATGTCATCAATGGCGGTTCTCACGCCGGCAACAAGCTGAACATGCAGGAGTTCATGATCCTCCCAGCTGGTGCAGCAAACTTCAAGGAAGCCATGCACATTGGAGCCAAGGTTTACCACAACCTGAAGAATGTCATCAGGAAGAAATACGGGAAAGATGCCACCAATGTGGGGGATGAACACGAAGTATCTGAAAGATGTCACTTTACAGAAATAGTGTGTACCATTCCGATGTTACAATGGTGGAGTTGGCAGGTGTGCCCAGGCCAAGCAGTGGGGCTGGACACAAGGTCCGTGGCCCAAAAAGAGTGCTGAAGTTTTGCTGCACATGCTTAAAAATGCAGAGAGTAATGCTGAACTTAAGGGTTTAGATGTAGATTCTCTGGTCATTGAGCATATCCAAGTGAACAAAGCACCTAAGATGCGCCGACGGACCTACAGAGCTCATGGTCGGATTAACCCATACAAGAGCTCTCCCTGCCACATTAAGATGATTCTTACTGAAAAGGAACAGATTGTTCCTAAACCAGAAGAGGAGGTTGCCCAGAAGAAAAAGATATCCCAGAAGAAACTGAAGAAACAAAAATTTATGGCACAGGAGTAAATTCAGCATTAAAATAAATGTAATTAAAAGAAAAAAAAAAAAAAGAAAGTTAGATCAATGATAAAGATTTACAGTCTAAGGTTTAGTCTCATTTTCAATAGTTCCCCCAAACTAAAGGTGATAAAAATACATTTTATGTAATCACATTAGCTCATTAATCACCTAAAGGCCTAGCTGTTGACCCTTCACCTTTCCCAATGGGACTGAGGAAGTCAATCAACTGATAAAATAAAGTCTCCATCAGACTTTAAAAAGAAAAAACCCTTTTTAATGATTATGAAAAATATATATGTGAGATTCAGGTTAACTTCCCAAAATTTAAGTCGAGGAAAGAATCAAGAACATTCACTATACCAAAAAAAAAAAAATGGGATTTTTGCAATCTCCTTTTAAAAGTGAAAGAGAGAGGGAGAATAGATTTTAATGAGCTTCCCTGTTCACCTTGATTAAATCAGAACTTTAGAGAAAGTAACCTAGCAGAACTTCAGAAATGTGAAGTTCAAGTTCAACTAATGAAGGAACAAAGACTTTAATTTTAGCTGAATGATCTTCCCATGTCTGTGTCAGTTTCACACTCTATTAGATCCTCTGGAACAAAAGGCCCAGACCCTCCCACTGGGAATCTTTCTCTGGAGCCCTAGGCACTATTGTTGATTTTATCTTAAAGGGCTTGGGAACACATTTTATAAACATAAAAACAGAGAGCAAGTAAGTGTGAGAAACATCCAGTGAAAGAAGGTCAATGCTGTCAAAGCCCCACTGAATTTCTTTTAAAATGATGTAGGTAGATGCATTTCTGGTTGGTGTGTTTAGTCAGACAGAGGTTTGAAAACGATATTCATTTGTCCCTTTTCTTACATGTGAAAATAATCACAATTTCTCAGGGAAGAATCTCCTGCTGGGTTACCAACTGCTGGGCTCATCCTCTCATACAACCAAATACCTTATTTTCAGTCTGAGACTTGGGGATGCTTTCTTTGGACAAATCAACATTGGCTTCATATATGGAAATTCTCCTTCCTAAGGTTACCCATTGCAAGTGAAACCATGGAATTCCATGACACCTGTAAACCATTTCTCCTCTTCTGACTGGATTTGGCACAGCTAAGCATGGAATCAGAACCAGAAAGCCAGAGACCTACCTGCCAAATGAATGCTATTTCAGGACGTCTTCAATGTTGTTGTTTTCCTTTTAAATAAAAATGAAATGAAATCACATAATAACACCACAATAAATTCTGCACATGCTAAAATAGAAAAGAGAGGACATTATTTTTTGACCTTTCAATATATGTGAAACACATTTTATACTGGAATAAACAACTTGAAAATGTATTATATGCACAAATGGCATGTGAATGGAACAGTTGCTTATGAGACTGGGAAAGAAGAGAAACTCTATTCATTGACAGAGGACTGCCAAAATTAGATATTAAAAACCCCAAACTTTTCTCAGTTTAAGGAATAAAATTAGTCTCTTAGAGATCCTACTCCTAAATCAAAAGATGAAAATTACCAAGCTTTAGTACACAACCACATGAATAATTCAGCCTATGAAAGCCACTATTATCCAGCATGGAATCGCTAATATGCAATAGAAAGTTTTCTCAGAATCTCAGAGGAGTTCCAAGATTGAATTTCTCATGACAAATAGTGGTTCTGACAAATGAAAATTCTACCATGAAATATAAAGTCGACATTAAACTAACAATCTATTTAGTCAGCAATCATTCAGTAACTATGAACCAGCTGGAAAAGACACACCCAATACAAATCTATATCTGTTCTGTCATCTATTCAGGACATATTTATTGAGGACCTACCACATGCTCAGCACCATGCTGGGAGCTGGGGTGTCAGCAAGATAGACATAGTGTTTTTCCCATGGATAGAAATAAAGAGTCCCACTTTCTACTACTGGGCATGCCAAACTATAAGTGATAGCAACCACTCAGATTGAAAAGGTGCTGTTATTGGTGGCAGAATGATAAAACTCTTAGATCCAATTCTCTCAAGGCCAAAAAATTGATGGGGTTACATATAGTTAGATATAGATATTTAAATCACTTTTATTAGTTAAAAAATTTACATAAAGTCTATGTGAATTGTTTTTGTTTTGTTTTGCTCTTGTTGTTATTCTTCTGTCTTCTCTCCTTGTAGATCAAATTATGGGCGGATTGAAGTAGGATTAATGTTACCAGCACAGAATACTGACTCTCATTTAGAGCCTTTGGCAGTGAACTGATCCAGAGAGATATCACCAGCATCAACATCATCATCATTATCATCAAGAGGCTTGCAAGGCCTACTTTATCAATCTTATTTATTATATCCATGGAACATGTGTTATCACCAAAATGACACCAGGGACTTACAGAACATGTCTCAATTCATATCTCCGTTTACTGAATAGCAAATGGATTAAGTATTTTAGAAATTGCAAATAGGCTAGCAAATGCAGATGGCCTGGGATTATAAGAAAATGTAATAAACTTCTAATAAAACATTTGAGCAAACTCACACATCTGTGGACAGATGGGAGGCATTATGTAATCAAGTCATTGCTACAGCAAGCTCTAACCGCACCCCCCTCCTCTTCAACCCCGCCAACCCATCCCTACCCCCGGCCCCACCCCGCTGCTGCTGTTGGGCCAAGGTTGAGGGTAAAGGGCTTCTGTGAGTTTTCCTTCTCTGTCAGCATCCAGAGAAAGTATTTTTAATCTTTCTAAGATGAACTATTAAAATAGACAGCCTTTGACCCACACCCACAAAAACACACACAAAAAACTCAAATCCTTGACCCAGGAAGCAAGGTTTCACTGCTTGTATTTGTTTGTTTTTGAAAACATAATATTTCCATGAATACACTTAGCTACTTGCCAGAAGTTTTTGTCTCTGACAATTCCACTAGATGGTAATGTTTGAGGTGGGCTCCTTAATGTAGCTTTGGGGAGTAATTTCCGAAGTGATCAATCAGCTGTAGAAACCACAAAATGGAATGAGAGATAGATTGGGAGTTTTTTAAAGGCTATATTCACCAGACTAAGTGAATAATATGAAATTAACACTTAGAAGTTCTCCTTTTGAAGATAATGTGAATGTGTGTGGGTGTGTATAAATGTTACTGAATTCCAGAGTAACATTAGAATTTTCTCTTTACAACAACTGACTAACCTTCAACTTGATATTCTGGAATGACTTTCCTCCCTTGATCAAAAGTAATATCTCCTGGGGTATCAAACATTTGAGGTGCAAAAATCTGGGGCGAGGCACAGGGGAAAAGAGGAAAAGGAGAAAACACTTCTACAGCATCTGAGAGAGAAGTTATCACAGAGAACTGAAGCAAGTATATTTTAGAGATGAAACATTGACACAAGCTCTGGAGTCAGCTAAAACAGGATTCAGCCTTATCACTTTTTTGGCCATGTGACCTTATAGCACGTTTTTCTAATTGGTAAAATGGAGACAAATATACTGTTGCAGTAGGTAGCTAGTCAGGCATGAGCAGGACAGGAGTAGGCTCCCCCATTCTCCAAACACATAACAGAAGTGTCAGGCTACCATCAGGTGATGGTCAGGTGGTTGTCAGCTGTCTCTCTAAAATAGTAATTGGTCACAGCTGGCACCAGAGAAGGCTGGCTCCTAATAGATAGAAAACACCTGAAACTGGTGATCAGCAGCTTCCCAATAAGATCTTAGGAGTTGGGCGAGTGGGCTCAAGCATGTGCACTAAGAGGCAAAATGGTAGGGTTTAACTACCATTTTGGTAAGAGGCAAAATGGTAGGATATATTACTTTCCTCTGGGAATGCCAGACTGGTAAGGGAAGAATGCCTGAAGTGAGCATGCATGCAATTCCAGTAAACACACTGCATATGCAGCCCCTCCCAAGTGCTGACCGGCCACTGTGCATAGCCCACCCCAAGGGAAGAATCAAAGAAGTAAAGCAAGACCCCAGAAGCATGCCAACATACAAAACCCCAAGTCATGCATTTGATCTCTCAAGTCACTCGCTTGGCCCTCTTCCAAGTGTACTTTACTTTCTTTCATTCCTGTTCTAAAGCTTTCTAATAAACTTCCACTCCTACTCTAAAACTTGCCTGTCTTCTTCTGCCTTATACCTCCTCCATCAAATTCTTTCTTCTGAGGAGGCAAGAATTGAGGTTGCTGCAGACCCCCTATGTATATGGATTTGTCCCAATGACAATAGTACCTAAAATAGAGATAAAACTAGCATTTAAAGTTACTGTAAGATTTAAATGAAGTATGTATATAAGGCACTTAGAACAATGCCCAGCACATAGTAAGTACTCAATAAATGTTAGTAACAAATATTGTATTTCAGATCAAAGTGCTAAAAAAAAATCAACTAAAAAACATATTGTTCAACTATTGAGATCCTGAGTTTTAGCAGTAATGACAGCAGAAATCAAAGACCTCAAACTATTTAGTAAATGTATAATAAGTTCTTCAAATTTTCCATTAGAAGCTAGATCATTATCATACACTTATGATTAACTCTCTGAGATTCTTCTGGTCCATCAATGCCAACAAACTGTTAAAATGAAGATCATCACTCAAGAAAAAAAGTGTGTGACTGTCTTCCAGCATGGGAGCCTAAGAACAAGAGATGTAAAGTAAAACTTGACTATCAAATTCTTAGGTTTGAGAAACGATATTTCCAAGATCACAAGTGAAAGGATTTCATAGATGGAAATTGGAATTTCATATGTCAACTCATAGAATATTTTATTATAAAAACTTTAAAGTATACAAATGTGTAGAGAATATCATAATAAACACTGGTATCCCCAGCTTTAAAAATTAAAGCATTATGAGGACACTCAGAGCTGCCATGCTGAACAAAGGCACTGTTCTTTGAGTAGAAAGTGAATGATCTCCATGGAGGATAACACACTGTATTCTACGTAGTTGGAACGCCACCCCCTACCCCAGGATGGAGCTATGTAGCTTTCCACCTAGACACAACCAAAGAGCTCCAGTAAAATCTTCCTGATATCATTCAGACTCCACAATCCTGAATCTGATTATTATTCCTAGTCCCGTTTCTATACTTTTATTATAGATGTATCTATTTGTATGGATTTTCTGTTTTGAACTTATATGAACAGTTATTCTTTATGAATCCCTCTGCAACTCGCTT